AGCAACAGGGATAGATAGATGGTAATTTTCTTCCTGTTCTGATATAGACGGTGTATCGGGAAAATAAACCCTTCAAAAGATGGCGCACAGCGTCCACTGCGAATCCGTGCGTGTTACCGTGCTTGGCGTATAGATCGCTTAGGAACGGAGCCCTCCTTGTCCGCAGATTGCGCTGTGCTGCGCCGGATTGTGACGTAGAGCCTTGTAGGCGGAATCAGGACTGCTACGTGAGTAAGATTGTTATCGCTTTACACGATGTATACATACCAAGCAAGCCGGCTGTATCAGTGCCATCTCTGCCTTGTATTTCGGAGATGTCCGGTTCGAATTTTGGCCAAGACACTTACCGTACTATCCTGACTAAGGTTCTTCGTAATTTCCTTCAGTTCCTCTGAGACCGAACGGGTAGTTAGACTTATAATCGGGACACCGACCATGACGGTTCAGATTTTCCGCGGCTTTCCTCAGTCCCTCCTGGCAAGTGTCCGAAATATTTTCAAATTTCATTCTCCATCATCTTAGCATTAAGCCCGGCCTCCTGTCAACTGGGTACCGGTGTATCTTTCCCGGAGGATACAGCAGCCGGAGTGTGAAGCTGACCACTCACCTTCATGTAGCACCGAGGTCAAGGTGGAGCTATACCTTCACTCCCCCATACCTCTTCATAGAGTGGTGTTTAATTAATCTCAGGGACAACTTCACCTTGATATCAGACACTATATGTACAGAGCTAATGATGGCGTTGTAGGTAGAACGACCCATAAAGTGTTTAATTCGGCCTCTCAGGGTAAATTCCGAGATGGTGCATTAAAATTGGTCACTACCGATTCCATTCATTAAAATCAAATAATTTTAAGCTGTATAGAGTTAAATAACAACATCGTTAAATAAATACTAATTATGTATAATTCTAAGCATTGAGTCTTCTGCAGACATCCCATAACCCTGTAGTAGTATTTTGGGGGACGGACTAAAGACGACACTTTCAAAAGAATCACAAATGACCATGGCTTTGCAAATTTCCCTTGCCGTATTTCGAGTGTGTGTGCTTATTATAGAGACATGCTCATATCTATCAATCTGTCTGTCTGTCTATCCGTCTGTCAACCTGTCTATCTATCTATGGTTCCTGGTTGATATTTCAGTTTCTTGATCTTTTTACACCGTTGGTAGGACTCCTTGGACGGGGGATCAGTCTGTCGCAAGGCCGCTTACCTGTGCACAGGACAACACAAACACAGAATAAACGCACACACACATATATCAATGTCTCAGGTGGGATTCGACCCCACGATCCCAGTGTTCTAGCAGGCGAATACAGTTCACGCCGTACACCGCGCGGCTGGCTACTGTGCTCGGCATGGCCATCTCTAGTTTTCAATTTGTCTTGCTTCTCCCCTGTGCAACTTTTGGAACGCAGGCAGGGTTTAGGGTTCCCATTTGGACCCATCCACTACATTAAGATTCAGTGTGACATTTGACCCCAGAATCTTTCATCTCTCATGTTACTTCGACTGACTCCCCCTCACCTAACATTCCTTGACCTCCTGCGGTGTATGGATGGACGTGGAAACGCAGTGAACCCTCTGGGAGCCCCATCCAACCACTTCTCTGGTCATGTAGGAGTTATGCAGTGGGCCACTACAGGTCGAGCGGCCCCGGATCTGTGCAGCGAGCTATCTGCTATGACCGAATATGAGACACGAACTTGGCGCCAGGATACTCGGCCAATGTCCTCAGGACTGGGGCTCGAAAGAGAAGCAACTTTTTTTTCCAGCTATTTGTCAACATTTGTAATGTTACTATTTAGTTTGGGCATTAAAATTTGAATGCAACGCACCGCTTGGAAAGTTCAGGTGTGTATGAAAGGAATATGTTAAACCTCTGAAGCCTGACGAGTAAGAAGAAAAATAAATAATAGGGGTGGGGTAATGAGAAACTCGACATTTGGGNGGGGGGGGGAGACAGAAATCAACCATGATGATAGAGGCGAGGAGATATCTGAAACGTTGGCTTTTTAACTGAACACTGACACAGCTGATCTCCCAAGAAAGTTTCAGCACATTTATTCGCCGTAAAACCTTCATATATTACAGAAAAATTTTGCTTTGAAAGTTCCCAGGCAGTGCTCGTTAGTACCTGTGGTAGAGATACGTTTCAGATCACTGAAGTTAATCTAAATCATATTAAAAAATTCAGTACTTAACTCAGAAAAGTGAGACTGTCTCCATTTCAAAGAACAGATCAGTGCTGTTCAGGGGAAAAACATTCCGTTTATTCTGAGAATTTTATGAAATCCATAAATTTAAACTGACAAGCGCTGAGTCTGCCTAGAATTATGGCGTTAGGACCGGGTGTTGTGAACAGGGCAACGGAAACAGGTACAGTCCCTATCGTAAGAAAATTGAAACATAAGGATACATATATTCAAAACAGAGCATTATGATTTAAATTTTAAAGTATTCGTTTGCAGGAACTGTCCTTCTTAACTTCACAAAATTTGACAGCACTGTAAATTACATTCCTGATTTGGCCAATCAATAATCTACTTTGACACGTCATGTTTCAATAACTAGAAGTCGAACTGTACAGGTCTTGAAAGTGACAGTATTATTATTTATTATTATTGGAGGGAGTGGGTTTCCCCATGCACCGTGACCAGTGGTCTATTGTACGTCCCCCTGTGATATTCTACCAGTCTCTATACCCTACCGATACTGGTGCGTGCCATCAGTCCCGACTCAGCCAGCGAGTTCGGCCTGTACTGGCTCAGCGGTATCTAGATTCTTCCCCCATCTACCAGAGGCGTTAGAGACTATTGTTTGGCGGGAAATGTCCGTTATAATTTGGCTCAGAGGCCTCCTTGAGGCATGAGGTTCTTTTACGTGCCGTAAAGCTACGACATGGGACCCACGGCTTAAAGTCCCTCCCGGAGGACTTGTTCCCTGAATTTTTCCGCCCTTAAAAATTCCACGACCTCCGCCGGGTTTGAACCCGCGTACCTTGAGTCATGAGGTGAGAACGTTACCCCTAGACTACGGAGGCCTCTTAAAGGGACAGTACATTATAATAATATTACTTAATTCCTTATAGTTCTGAGTTTCACAATGAGCGTAATTTGCTTTGTAGGATTATACAGTGTGGGAAAATGTAGGTTTCGAATATTAAGTCAGGAGGTATATACGATTACCACTGCAGTTTAAATCATTAAATGGTGCTAATAATCATATATTTTAGCACTCTCTTGTGTTTCATCATGTATAAGATATTTTTAACACAACACATCAGCGATCGTATTGTCACTTAGGAAGGTAAATACTGTCTTATTACTGACTAGAACTCACATAGACGTCAGCAGACACAAAAGCCGAACAATATACACCAAACTTAAAGTAGTGAACACAACAACTGACTACAACACAGCAAAAATAACAGTGACGCTATCAACAGACGCACAATGAGCTAGGAAAATATGATGCAAAATAATTCAGAGTATCTAAGATCTAATATTGTGACCTTGACAAGTGCCTTTTTCGTGGCCACCGCTCCTATTGGACCGCATCGAGCTCTGTTTCCCCTTCCACTCCCCTCGATCCAAGTGACCATCCTTCTTTGAGCATGCGCAGTACACGCTACGCTCCGGAAGGAGTAGGTAGGAGCTTGTAAACCAGATCGTTGATGTACGTTGCAATCCAGAAGAAAACAATTTGAACAATCATCACCATAAAGGTCTCGGTACTTATTACAATGAAATTTAATTAAAATATTATTTTATAAACATTATAAAGAATATGTAGATTAATCATTAATTTTTTCATCTTAAAAATTATGATGATAATCAAAAATACAACATAACAAAACAGTACCGTCTTCTGGGCTGCAACTTCATGTAATTCAGAAAGAAACCGACGTTTCCAAGGAATATATCCCGTACATCTTCAGGGTCCAAAAAGCCAATAAAGAAAGCAGCAAAGTGGAAATATAAGATCGAAGGGCTATATCTCTCCGAAACATTGGGTTCCTCCGGAATAAACGGCTTTGCAATCCAGGCGACCACACCATTCATAACCCATGATGTGAAGACCTTAAACAAAAAATTAAAAAAGAATATATCAAATTGCCTAAAAGCAATATGGTGCTTGGTGATCTTGATGATGGTCTTACTGATGTAACCCACTCATTCACCTCCGTCTTTAATACAACTTAAAACTGTCCACAAAAAAAACACCGTGGCCTGTAGTCCACAAGCGAACTATACCGACCGAGCGACCGCCGCTTGTCGGCAAAGTTAGTGCCAATTTTTGAGGATATGGGGTGTCACGTGGTCAGCGCAACGAATCCCCACGGCCGTTAATTTCTGTCTTCTAGACCGGAGCCGCTATTTCCTCGAAATAGATCCTCAGTTGTCCTCACGAGGTTGAGTTGAGCCCGTTCACCTGCTCACACTGGTTCCTCATTCGCGGATTTTTCTACCCTGAAGATGGAGGCGATATGTTCCTCCGAAACGTCGGTTTACATTGGATCTACATGGTGCCGCATCCCAGAAGACGGCATTTTTCATAGTCACCGCCGTGAAAACCTCAACTCTAACAATAACTGATGTTTTCCAGAAAGAACGTAGGATTGACAGACTATGCAGTTACCGTCACTCACTGCCCACACTGTGCGTGATCTGCCGTGGCTTTATCTACATCGAACAAGTTGTACAGCAGATCACAGTGGCCGCTCGTTGTAAGGCATGCACTGTCTTCGCTCTCTCGAACGCTTGGATCGTGGGTTCGATCCGAATCAAGGCATGGATGTCTGTCTGCGTTTATTATGTATTTATGTTGTTGTGTGTAGGTAGCGGACTTGCGACGGGCTGATCTCCCGTCCAAGGAGTCCTACCGATTATGTGTAGAATTAAGAAACAGAAAAGTTGGCCAAGGTCCAACAAAAATACTGCAGATAGACATGTTTTACGCTGCTTAACGAAACCAATCTATTCCTATGTTGTGCAGATGTCCAGAAGCTGCGAAGTGAAGCCCCTGGTGTTGATGCTGGTGTTGATGTTGGGGCGTGGGATAAGATGTAAAAGGCGAGGGGCTGTTTTCTTACCCCCCGATAGCACAGGCCTCGTTGGGACTCCGCCAGCAGAGAAGCCGCTTCTACCCCTTAAATTTTGGGCCAACCCACGGAAATCGCCTCTGAAACCACGACGTAGGGACTTAGATGAGCCAACATTACTGAGACTCATGGGACAGGACTTCGATTCCAGATGGATGAGGAGAACACCTCCCAGCCACACATATATACAGGTATAAAGAAATGCTGCCTTGTGGCTAGTAGTGAAATTAGAATACTGTTATGTTTATGTGTGTCGTGTATAATGACGCTGTATCGTTTGTAAAACTAGAAACTAGAGGACTGTATTGTTCATTTGTTGTTCATTTTCTAGCACTCTCTTTTGGCGTAATGATGGCTTTGTGAAGCACGCAGGGTTCGAGAAGATGTCAAAGGAATGTTGTTCTTGTCTCGTTCTTATTCTTACCTTCTTCTCTCTTCCTTTATCACATTTTTCTTCCTTTTTATTTCCTACTTCTGTCCTTCCATGTCCTCTCCCTCCCTGCTACATATTCTCCTTTTCTTATTCCAATTTATAACCCATCTTCTTTATCTCTTGCCCATCTCTCTATTCCACATTCTCCTCTTCTTTAATTACCTTTTCCTTCCTGTTCTTCTCTTCTTTATTTCCTTCCTCTTCTACGTCTCTGCTCATCTCCCCCCCCCCGCAAGAAATAACAAGAATTTCAAATTTACTGTATTCAAGATGCGCCCTTTATCCCCTGCGCAGTTTGTAATTGTGACGGTGGGTGAATTATTACATCACTGTTATAACGCACGCTGTCCACTCTCGTCTGCAGGTGTTCATTGTTGTTATTACAGACAGATTTTTTTTAAATTTTATTAGCGATGGTTGGAATCAAACCTGAGACCTTCTACAATATGAGGCTGGTATTCAGAAGTTTATGAGGTCGATATATCAGCACTGGCACCCAAACCACACGGCACTACAGGCCAGAACGCCGTAGTGGTCACTGAGTTTGGCCCGTACAACTTGGGAACTATTCACGCAACTGTGAGTGAGCCAGTGCGCGTTGCCTGTTTCAGGACGGCGGTGCTGTCGACGCCGAAGACCGCGCTACTGTGAGAGCGCTGCATGAGATGGCTGGGGAGGAACTGCAATTGCCTGCCGACTTGGTGCCCCCCGAGTATCGGGCAGCGGTTATCGCATGGTTAGTCCGCCGGGCTACCTGCCCCATCCGCTACGTCTGGGGTGACCTGGGCCCCTATTTCTGGCCACGCTGGGTGCGCAGGGGGGAATGTGTTCATGACGCTGGTATGTATAGAGGCATCCCTCAGAGAGACGTACTGCTTGAATTCACAGTTGTATATCACAGATCAACCAATGATATCTGGGAGCTATGTTTAAAATACATTTATTTCGTAGTTTAATTATTGAAGCCTTATCGACTGAATATCTTAAATAAGGTCGAATGTGAAAATAATTCTGAACCCTCCCTTACATTATTTTCCGAAACATTATCAACTAAATAGTTTAAAATAGAATAATTTGAAAATAACAGGGGCCAACAATTAAGGTATGTGTGATTTACTGCTTGAAGCTTCATAACTTGTACTCTTCTCCAAGTATAATTAGAATGGCCAAGTCAAGGATGAGATGGGTAGGATATGTAGCACGAATTGATAGAAGAGGAAAGTATATAGGATATTGGTGGGAAAGCCAGAAGGAAAGAGACCACTGGGAATACCAAGGCGTAGGTGGGTCGACAATATTAAAATGGATCTTAAAGAGACAGGATGTGATGGTATTTATTGGATTGATCTGGCTCAGGATAGGGACCATTGAAGGGCTCTTGTGAACACGGTAATGAACCTCCGGATTCCATAAAATGCTGGGAAGTTCTTGAGTAGCTGCAGAATTGGCGGTTTCTCAAGAAGGGCTCAGCTCCGTGAGTGAGTGACTTACTGCTTTGTTTATTGACGTTTCATGAACTGAATAGGTTAGAATGGTCAAGTGTTTAAATAATTTTGAAACGTGTCTTAGGAAACGCATATTTTGTTATCTTATTTACCGAGGTCTTATCAATTGTATAAGGTCTGAAGCCATCATGGCGGCTAATATTAATAGAATCATCTCGGTCTATCAGTTAAGTCGTTTGATTACATATTACCGGCATTTAACTAACTGACTATTTTATTACATTCATCAACTGAATAAGTTAAATGGTTGAATGCGAAAATAATCTGAATCTTCCATTAAGATGTTTGTTTTTTCGAATCATATCAACTGAAATGGTTAAATAATGTTGAGTGTGAAAATAATTCCGAACACTAAACTGGGAATTTGTGTCAGAACGCGGCGTAGTCGGTATAGCGACTGGCCATGTGATCGTTGATGGAGGAATCGGAGTTCGAGTCCCGGTAGGGGCAAGATTTTTTTCTTGTCCACGTCGTCTATACCGGTTTTGAGGCCCATCCAGCCTCCTATCCAAGTGGCCGGGGCGTGAAACTGACCACTCACCTCCAACCAGTGCCGAGGTAAAGAAAAAGTGGAACTATACGTCCACTCCCGCATACATCTTCATGGCGTATTGCATAATTTATTAAGAACAGGAGAAATTTTACCTTTATTTTTACTAGGTCGTAATTAAGGAACCATCCAAGCATTTCACGGAGGGAGGAGGAAAATCACGACTATGATCAGGCTATGAACCCGGTATCTCCGGAATAGGAAGCGTAATTGCTAACAACTATGCGGCTATCGATAGTTTATGTAGTACCCTACAGTCGCTGTAGTGAAGGCGTATGGACTGGCCGGTCGAGGAATCAGAGTTCAATTCCTGGTCGGAGCAACAGATTTTTCCTTTCTACACAACATCCATACCGGCTCTGTATACCCACCCAGCCTCCTATCCAGTTGGTACCAGAACAATTTCCTAGGAGTTAAAGTGGCCAGGGCGTGAAGCTGACCACTCACCTCTACCTAGTGCCGACGATAAGACTCCCCATACGTCTCCATGGCGTAATTAATTAAGAATAGGCACAACTTTGTTGACACGTGTACGAGGACTCCGGATAGTTCAGTCAGTAGGCTGCAGTCACTGGAAGATTGTAAGGCATAGATGTGTCTCTTTCCCACCGCGTCCACACCGACTCTGGGTCTAACCCAGTTACTATCCAACAGGGTAGAAAGAAGAGAACTCTGAGAAAGTCCTGAAAAAGGCAGTTTTGTATTTATCCTGAAGGGCCAGGCTAGACGCAACATTTTACAAGACATTTATTTCAGTTTAATTTGGAGGGATAACAAACTAACACACAGTTCACCGTTACATTTTACGGACTGTGAATTCGACTTAGGAACCTCACGAATGCAAGTTGAGAAGGTAAGGAACTAGTCACGAACCTCAAAATTTCGGTTTCGTGCGCAATGGAGCTTCAGATGGGGAGAGAAAATAGATACATCGCCTTGCCCATTCGGCATCTTCTCCGGCATGTTTGTGCGGCGGCTCAGTCTCGGAGTGTTGTGCAGGCGTTCCGCGATTTAGAGCTAATATTGCGGAACGTATACTCGTATTAAAGAGTCGGGCTCTACATTCATATGATACAACAGGTAAAATTACATTTTTTATTTTTCATGAAACGTAAGTAAGTTTCTTTTAGAACACAGCGGTTTCGTTTTTGTATTTTATCTTAAATTTAATAAGATAAATTTAGAAAGAGTGTAAATGGACTTAACATCAGTGCCATTACTGTTGTGATACATTAAAGTGACATGATGTACATGACGCCTATGTTAAGATATGTCATCTTATGATATCTGCAGGTGCCGATGCAACAAATGAGGGCCGAAACTCAAGCAGGAGCGGTGTAACTCGCCCGACACCATGCAGTTGGCCACCCGGTATGTTCTGCGTGCCCGGAGTGGCCAGAAACCTTCAGATTCTCCGATGGCACTGCAGGTAATTGCCCTCAGTTGACGGTTTCTGCCATATTTGTTCGCTGCAAACACGATCTCAGTACTGCCTGTGTTACTTGCTTCCACAGTAAAGCATATGCCTTTCTTATAAAATTAATTTAAAATGGAAAGTGTTTGAGAACAGGGTAGAAAAGGTAAAGCTACTCCTGTAACACGCCGTGAAGGCCAATAGGGTTGTGAGACGTCGAGGTTCCCATACTTTCTAGATCTGTTCACAGATGGTGGTGAGATTGTCAGTCTTAGGCGCCGGCCGCCCTTCACCCCCCAGGAAGACTCCTGGTACTCATTTCTGTTAGAGGCTGAGTCGATCCCAAGGTCATAGAGCGGCTGGAAGAATTAGGTCAATTGAAAAATCCGATGATCTCATCGGGAATCGAACCCGTGAGCTTCCGGCTTGTAGCATAGTATCTCAACCAACTAAGCTACCGCTTGCCCCCTTGAAAACGGTGACCAATAGAATATTTAGATTTACGACGCAGGAAATAACAGGCGGATGGAGAGAACTGTATATCGCAGGCTTTCGTGACNCCCCCCCCCCCGGAATAATATTAGAACGATGAAATCGAAGGCAAAGAGACGACACGTGTAGCACACGTGAGAAGTGCATATATCGTGTTGGTAAATAACCTGAAGAAAATAGACCACTTAGGTAACCAGCGCGCGGATGGGATAATAATATTAAAGTGCATTTGAAGAAAATATGGTGGAAGGATGTAGACTGGATTCAGAATAGGGACCAGAGGCGGGCTGTTTTGAGCACGGTAAAGAACCAATAGGTTTCATTAAACGTTGGGAAATTTGTGATGAACTGAGAAACTATTAGCTTCTCACGAAGGACACTGCTCCTTGGAGTTGGTGTCTTCTGACAACAGAACTCTGCTTAGTATCGACTTCCTTTTTTCTCTTGAGCTTTGTAAGGTATGAAAATCCTCAAAATGTCGCGATCTTTTGCTTGAAAATAAACAAATATATTGTGTTCTCATGACAAAATATTTTCTTATTAATTTTATATTCATATTAATTGGTCGATAATTATACCTGTGTATTTGGTTATTGGTTCAGAACTTGGTTTGATACTTGTTACTTAATAAATGTTCAACCTTAACAATATTTTGATAAGTTTTTTATTTATATTAATTATATGTCACAGGAGACAGTGACTGTGCACTATTTTGCAAAATTTCTGTATGCAGGCCTACTGAGAAAAGCAACAAGTAATCATCTCTCAGGACAGATTTTTATATCAAAACTTTCACACATTTTTCATGCAAAAAAGGCTGATCCACAGCAACTGTTTTGACATGTTTCATTACATACAAAATATTAATTTTAGCTTAGATCTAGGAATTATATGTTTTACTTTTCTGTTAATCACTGGTAGTTACAGATCATAAAAAAGTTTTTGCATTTAAAGCAAAGGTCTCATAAGTGACAATAAAACTGAATGACTTAAAAGTGATCAGTTTTGTTTGTTGCTTATTCCGGCGTTGAAGTCTCCCACCATTAACTGTTTCTCCAGCTGACTACTGGCACAATATCGATACAGGTTTAGAAATAAATATTTGCAATACATCTATGACGTTTCTATATTTACTCGTGGGTGGTGTCCGAATTTCCTTCCTAGAGAAAACATCCAGTCTTCAAGGGACAGATGTCAGAAAATTTACTTACAAACTTACATTTAAGCCATAACACTATTCTTACTGATTGCCTTAGATAAGATAATATTCTTTAAATGTCTGCATTTTTATTAATATTTTGTACATATATGACAGTCTCGATAGCTCAATCGGTATAGCAACGTGCTGCACGGCCGGGGTTCTATTCCTGGCAGAGGCAAGAAATTTTTCTCTTCTCCACTGCTTCAGAACCGGCTCTGAGGCCCAAATTTCCCGGAGGTTTTATCCCTATAGTTAAAGCGGTAGGATATGAATCTGACCACTCATCTCCATCCAGCGCCGAGGTCAAGAATGGTAGAGGTGTACCTCCACTCCCCCCACATGTTTTCACAGATTCATTAGGCATAGGGGCAAATTTAAGCTTTAACTTTTACACTGATATTGTTTCGCAGACGGCGTCTGTACACTCACATGAATAACATTTCATGTTGCAGACTGAGGAAGAACATGAACGTTGGAAGCGGTGCTAACAGCAACAACGTATGGCTGTTGAGGGGTGGCACGAGTCAGCCTATGGTGGACAAACATCACAACAGTAGCAGCAAAAGCAAACGTAGAAAAAGATACCGTTGTCAATGGCTTAAGGTACCTTATCCCGTTCCTGAGGACTGCGTCTGCTCCAGCTAGTCCTGAACACTTCTGCTTAGCTGTCGGCTACACCTACTAGTCTGGTCAGTGCTTTCACGTACTTCCGGTTTATCACAAACACTCCCAATTCAGCTAAGGCTGATTGCCTTTGTTTCATGTCTTTAAACGGCCTACACTCCCATTAACCCTCTAAAACACAGTAACTACTTGTATACGTACCAGAGGCCATGAAATAGCTCAGGCAGTTAGTCGCCGGTTCCCCACCGCGGAGGCCCGGAGTTATATCCCTGGTCAGATCATGTGGGATTTGTGGTGGACAAAGTGGCACTGGGGCAGATTTCCTTCGAATACTTCGGTTTCCTCTGCCTATTCACATTCCACCGCCTGCTCTACATTCATCATAATCATCCATGGCTGATGCAGTAGGCCTGTTAGTGGCCGACGTACCAAGTGGACTCAGCCTCAACCCCCCCCCCCCAAAAAAAAATATACATACCGCCTGCTTTAACATTTGGAAAGTTCTTAAATATACCTGGTAAGTGTATTTATATGTTTCATGTGATTATCAGAATAAAAAATGATTATTTATCTATATAGTGTTCACTTTGACTTTGTAATGCATACAGTGTTTTCTGAGTGATAGGAATTGAGTGTTTAAGTGTTATGTAGATAAACAAGCATGCGCTAAAGGCTTAAGAAGACTGTATTAGCTCCAATTGGTAATAGCGGCACATAACTATGTAAACTGACTGACTGATTGATAATTCACACTTAAGTAATATTTGACATCATTTTTCTGTATGTACGAGTAATTGTATGTATTATTTCTTCAGACTTTATTTTAAAAGTCATGATTTCCAGTTGTGAAATAATTCAGACATTGCAATAGACATACTAATTCGGAATCAACTGATCTTTTCTTAATACAATCGAACTATGACACATCTCCTGAAGGCCTTCTTTCAAGTGATAGACATCATATGTTCGCTGCAATGACCGATTTTGTATTTATCTAATTTGGCGTCGAATAAGAGGAATGGATTTTAAGTACATATATAATGGATATTTTTCGTTTCATTTTTATTTCAGAACAGCGTTTCGGAAGCTCGATTTATTTCCGTCATTAGAAAAAAGTATGAAACGTGCTGTTTTACGGGCATAAGTCAGACAATATCACCCTGCCAGGATTCTCTTGCCTAAAGACAGAAGCAAAGTCAGCTTCCGAAGCGTTTTATTTCACCATAAACTAAACCTGATCGTAGTTTTTCTGTATTATATCACTGCATACTCTTACGGTTAGCGCTGGTTCGGTGAACCATGCTGACAGTTTTCGAGCTTGAACTACGACTCTGAAGATGGAGGTGTCATTCTTCTTCGAAACATAAGTGTCCGCCTACAAGATTATGTGGTGTGACAACCTTTAAAACCTCAAAGCCCGTAACAAGACTGAGTCAATGGAGAATGTCCAACATGCAAGCTGGAAGGTCATGGGTTCTATTGCCGATGAAGTCATTTGGTTTTACAATTGACCTAATCCTGCCAGCCGCACTATGGCCCTGGGATCGACACAGCCTCTAACAGAAATAAATACCAGGAATCTTCTTGGGTTAAAGGGCGTCCGGCGCTTGAAGATGAGGAACTTACCGCCATCTGTTATCTGATGGTCTATAAAATGTGGGAGCCTCGATGTATCACAACCCTATGGGCTTCCACGGCCTGTTACAGGGATATTTTTTTTTATTTATGTGTCAGTTTACCTACACATCTTCACTATAAATCTTTAGACTTAGGAAATACATTTCCTTATCGTATTTCACTCACAGTTCTTATAAGAAATAGACGGCAGGAAGGCCTATCGCCCGTAAGTTCAACACTTCTGTTTTCAAGGTCATCCCCTCTTATCCCTTACCAAATGGAACGTGTGAGAGACTACTGCGCTTGTGTAGTTATATGTCAATTTAACGCTCTCTCGTGTTATTGACGTTCTGACACACGAGCCATTCATTCTGCACGTGTGTACTCACGGACTGGCATTCCAGTGTCATTCGGATGTGCGCTTGCAGTATTTATTTACATACTATGGAATGTATTTCTCCTTTGGCTGGTGCCTTCTCGTGTGTCAACTGATGCCTGCATTAGTCTTCCAGTTTCATTTCCATAGATTAATTTAAGATCATATGCCGGTCACGGTAGCCGAGTGGTCTAAGGCATGTACTGGCTTCGCTTGCTCGGAAACCGGGATCGTGGGTTCGAATCCCACACTAGGCATGGATGTTTGGTATGTATATATGTGTTGTCCTGTGTTTAAGTAGGGGCCTTGCGAGGAGCTGATCATCCGTCCAAGGAGTCCTACCGTCTCTAAATGACCATGAACCTGAAAAAGTCAGAGGCCAGGACCCAAGTGGGCCGTAGAGCCAGTGAAAAAAAAAATTAAAATCATAACAGGCAAATATCCAGGTCTGGAAATTGAGTGTATCTAGTTCACAGCTCTCTTCTTCAAGACCTCACTTCCAGTAACGTTTTCAGTCACTTCTCAGTGAGTCTTAAGACCTGAGTAACGAGTCGCCTTTCGGCAATCTGCATTGTAATAGTTCCCTTCATAACTACAGCCGGTATAGCGACGGGCTGGACGGTCTGGGTTCGATTATCGGTAGGGGCGAGAAATTTTCCCTACTTTACAAGGTCCAGGGGATACGCGGTAGTGTAGTTTGTTGAGGCACTATGCTACAAGCCGGAAGGTCGCAGGCTCGAATCCCGATGAGGTGGATTTTTTCACTTTACCTAATCCTTCCAGCCGCACTATGGTCATGGGTTCGACTCAGCCTCTAACAGGAATGAGTATGAGGAATCTTCCTGGCGTGTAAAGGACGGTCGGCGCGTAAGGCTGACAACCCTACCGCCATCTGTGAGCCGATTGTCTAGAAGACGTGGGAGCCTCGACGTCTCACAGCTCTATGGGCCTCCATAGCCTGTTATAAAGATAGCTTTACCATTTTACAACGTCCAGATTGGCGCTGGGACCGACTCAGCCTCCTTTCCAAGGGGAACTGTGGTTCCTTCTCTAGAGGTAAAGCGGAACTACGCAATGTCTTCTTGGCATGATGAGTAATTAAATAAACTTTATATTATAACAATTGGGCATAATTCCCCGAGCATTGATGCTTATATGGCTGCCTACCTCTGGAAACGCCGTTTCCATCTGTGTATATGGACGTTTCTGAACTATGCCCGTAATTAGTGTCTTAACATTACTGTCCATTCTCATAAGCCCCTGTTTTGTATAGGATTCCAGATGGTCATTCCAAATGTCCTGTTCAAGATGTTCGCAACCCTGCATTTTCACTGTCTGAAGCATTTCCGTGATCATTAGCGCAGTGCTTGACAGAATATAAGCCGCACCCCCAAAACTGTATGGTGTGTAAATGAAAAAAAAATATATATATGAATTTACATCATTATGCCCCCAAATCGGAACAACTCAAAATAAGCATGATATAGTGACCTCTCCGAAAAACACGTTAATGTAATACTCAGAATCACTGGGTTTTTGGACTTTGTCCATCGTCCGGTATTCTAGAAACTAGAAAACACAACGTTTCGGAAAATGGATGTTTCCGTCCTCAGGTGAGGGAGGGAAGACACTCAGTTATGCCCTTTAAAAAGAGCTAACCTCAATCACTGGTACAGTAATTGAGGTTAGCTCTTTCTAAGGGACCCAAATGAGTAGGTGTCTTCCCCCCTCACCTGAGGAAACAGATGCAGTTTCCGAATCGTTGTGTTTTCTAGTTTCTAGAACACTGGACGATGGACAAAGTTCAAAAACCCAGTGATTCTGAGTGCTATACACCATTCGCTTAGTGGGGGGGGGGTGGAGTCCAATTGGGTCCACTCGACACGTCAGCCACTGATTGGCCTATTGTAGCCTGCCCCGGGTGATTATGATGATGGAGAATTTGGTGAAATGAAGCTTGGCAGGGGAAACCGAAGTACGCGGAGAAAACCTGCCCCAGCACCACTTTGTCCACCACAAATCCCACTTGACCATACCCGGGATCGAACCCAGGCTGCCGCGGTGGGAAGCCAGCGACTAACCGCTTGAGCTATGGCGCAGCCTGTGCTATACACCATCGTCAGAACCCTTTAGAATCTACGCTATTTTTAGTTTGGGGCTAACGAGAGGCTCAGGTAACGTCTGGCATTTAGGTATGATACATTTCCATTAGGGCTTCAGCAGGTGCGAATCGAGTTCGCATAGATATAAACTTAACCGAAGGTAAAGCGTTAACTCTTGATCACCACAAGGAAATGTGTCGCTTTACTGGATCCAGCCCGTCCAGCGACGTTCCTTTGAACCGCCTATAAGCAGCATCGTGATATTAAAAGCGTTAATTTTAGTATAAAATATGTCACTTTATATTTGGGTAAAGAGAAGCAGTGGTTCTGGAACGGGGTTCACTCAGCATCATGATGATAACTGAGGGGCTACTTGAATGGAAAAGTAGCGGCTCCGGTCTAGAAAATCGAAATTAACGGCCGTGGGGATTTTTTTGAATTGTAGGAAAAAGTTGTAAATACAAAGAAGGCATATTCTTGCCCATCCGGCCTTCTGTAGCACATTTTTATAAATATCTTATCCTATAATAGCGGTAACCCCGCGATTCTTAAGCGGTGGGGATTCGTTGCGCTGACCACGCAAGACCCTCTATCCGCAAAAGTTGGCACTAACTTCACCGACAAGCGGCAGTCGCTCGGTCGGTATAGTTCGCTTGCGGACTAAAGCCATAGAGTTTAGTTTCAAATTCGGGTAAATGTTCTGAAATTTGAATTGTAATCTATTGTCTTCACTAAACAAAAACATTGAACAGTAACTGTGTATCAGTTGAAGGCTGTCACGAATATGTTCGCGTGTGTGTGTGTGTGTTGTGTTGTGTACACAGTAGAGCAGGTATTCACCTAAAGCACATTTATCCGCCAGAAGGGATTTGGGGCATCCCTTGAGGAACCATTAAACTGTAATTGAAACATATCCTTATGCCCAGAAGGATACAGGATATTTTAAGGATATGAAATTGTCTATTTTCCATTAGGAGATCCGTAAGTACTTCAAGTGAAAATCTGAAAAAACGTGCTACCCTAGGAAAAACGTGATGCAGGTTGTGAAAGTTGCAGTTGTCGTGGAAATGGCCATGAAGATTGCTGTCTTTAAGGGTGTGACGCCGTATAAACTGATAGGTGTTTAACGGGGTTTTGAAAGAACGTGCTGTCTCTATCCTCAGTGTAAAAAATAAGAGCAGTACACCGAAACGTAAATATCTGGCAGACTACACGGTGTCACATCCCAGAAGATACTAATTTTTCAAGATGAAGGTTTTGTCAAATAAAATATGCAAGTGTTACATGTCCGTCCCAGGTATTATTCAGTTAGACCATATGAGCAAATAGGCGAGATAGCGCAGTCGATATACCGACTGACTACCGGCTGGAAGGAGGAGGAGGAGGAGGAGGTCGGAGTTCAAGTCCTGGTAGGGTCAAGAATTTTCAGTTCTCCATGTCATCCAGACCTGCTCTGGGGTTCACCCAACCTCCTATCCAATGGGTACCGGAGACTCCTTCCCCGGGGGTGTAAAGCGGCCGTGGAATGAAGCTGACTGCTCACCTCCAACTAGTGCCGTGGTCAAGAAAATGTGGGTCTCTACATCCACTCCCCCATGCGCCTTTATGATGTAGTACTTACTTAAGTACAGGGACAATTTTGCCTTTACCTTTTACCCATACGGGTGATTCACACGTGCGATCACAGGACATTTCCACTAGCAATAGAAATAATTCAGTGGTTTAAAGTATGTAAGATATTAAATTTCCTTCAAATCATTGGCTTTTTTTATTATTATTAACATAATTATTATTAATGAATTACAACAGTTTAACGAATTTTTAGGTACCTGAACTTTGTTGTCCCATTTTATACCTCAACTTACATGCAAGTCTGCTTGGAGACAATGGTGGATCCTGGGCGAATTATGTTCCTGGGCCTCCCCTTTTAAATTTTTTTTTTCAAAACAT